GATTAAATTAATAATAAAGTTGACTGTAATTTCTGAAGAGCAAGAGGGGGGGAGGGGGATCTTTCCCAAATATAAATTACCTTATTATTTATTTTTACATACAAGCACACCTTTTCCCCCAAAAAACAGCTGCTGGACATTGCAGTGTGTATTATCTGCTAGAACAAAGTGGTAAGAGAAGTTTCTGCCTTACAAGCAGAAGCAAAATTTACACCTAACTCACAGCGAGCAGAATAGTGAACAGGCTTAGCTCCCTAGCTGCTGCTTAACTACTTACTACAAGGAAACATCTTTTTCTTCTTCTTCTTGTTCTCGCCTTTCAAAGACAAGGTACATAGTTAATTCTGAAGCATGTTGTATGCGAGAAGATACAGTATTCCATTTCTGCTTCAAAATCAGTCCTATAAACTGGAGCAATTACTTCCATGACTAATATAAGCATAGTGCCTCAAATTAAAGTCAGACAGAGTTTAAACAAGAGCTAGGTCTGCAGAAACTGCCAGTCATTCACACTCATCATTGGGTCTAAACAGCAGCTCCAACTGCTCTTGCCTGTTCGGTCTAGGCACCTGACAAATCCAGGCATGTGCTGCAAACAACGTCTAAATCATCCCCTTCGAGTTATTGGAGAACACCAGAACATTGAAGTACTTGGAGCTTGTTTAGGGATACATGAGCTCTGCTGGCTACAACTCAAGAGCTGAATTGTGTTAAATAGTTCAGCAACAGCCCAGATGAAGGGGACTGAATTTCTATCTTCGTACGAAATTAATGGAAGAAATAGGGAGAAAAGGCTTCAGATCTTAAAAAGGTTCTCAGCGATTGCTAGTTTCCAAGCAGCCACAGCCAAAATTAGTTAAGGCCTATTAGAGCTCAGCCAGAGGATTACTGCATCAAGGGCTTTATTTCTTTCTTGCATCACAAATTAATATTTTTTCTTCAGTGGAAATTTGTTTCATTGTCTTTAATAGGTTTTGTTCTATACTCTTAGCCAAAGGCTTGCTGGAAAGGAGACTGTTTTGGCCTAGGGGAGTTTAGAAATCATGTATTCTTTCTACAAAGACATTTGGGCCAAGACTTTCCTCAGGTAATCATGTCATTGTTGTCACAATTCTTGTTAGCTCCAAGAATTTGCATTTTGTTATATACAACATACACAGCTTACACTCAAGGCTTTTACATTTAAGTTATGCACACTGTAGACCTACTGATCCAGTTGTTAGTTAGCTTAGCAATATATTTAAAGGTTTAATACACATATTTTGAGGATTGGATCTTACAGCTTTTGTCAGGCAAACATTTGTGGATGTGAATATTCTGGCATGCAACTACTTCCCTTTAGGACTGACCAGTTTAGGCATATGTAGTGTTACTTGCATGTGTTTGAACATTGTTCCTAGACTCTGAAGGACACATTGGGGTACTTGCAAACAACATTTACTTAATAAAATTACCATTTACCTGTAAGAAATACATTTCCTTATAAGCAGGGTTAAGAATGCATAGTTAGTTTTAACTTCTAAATAATTTCTATGTATTGCAAAATACTAGTGAAAGTTGGTTTATGAGCTCATAACACTTCAACATATAAAAATGCACTTAAAGAATTTGCATACGTTATGGATCCAGTGAAGCAGACTTTTTACCCAATTAATTGTTCGGAACTTCAAAAAGAAGGTGTGATTTAGCCAGCAAGATGCACAAGTAATTTACTATACATAAATAGATACTATAAAGTTTTAAAAAACCCACACACAAAAAGTTACCCTTTTAAGCATCTATGACGAATAAGCCCTTCTGTGAATTTGAGAATAACCAATTTATCCATCTTGAGGTTACAGAAAACTACGGATACTGTGTTACTGCCTCCGAGGTTCCAGCTCTCATTGTGGACAATTATAAATTTTATAACTTATCCTGAATAAAGGGCGGTGACACCTTCCCAAGACCACGGACTAAGCAGCCCACGGTTCAAAGCAATCAGACCAATCTCCTACCATTACACATCTTTTCCTACCCATACAAGTGAGCAAGCAGTGGTTACTGATGCATGCTTCCAGCAGTATCTTCACAAGCCATTCAGAATCAGGTGTTCTGATAGAAATCCACTCAGTCTAATGGTTTAAATCTTCACATTTGAGCATTCCTCTGAGCTAACTGCAACATGCACTACTTGCTCCTAAAAAAGGTACAATTCCCAAAAAACCTTACTTTCCCATTAAAAAAGAAACAATAAAGAATCTCATGCATCAAAACCTATTAGCAAGTGTTCAAACACTCTAGTGAATACTTACCCACTGTGGGCCACCCCCCCTCAAGTACCCATGTTAGTCTGAGCAATTGTTAGCCTCTGGGTGTGTCAAATTCATACAAGTGTGACCTTCTCCCCCCCCCCAAAAAAAGTCCTTGCCAGAACTCTATAGCACAACTCATCTACCTCACCTAGGTGCTTTATAAATCCAGCCATGCAGCTCTCTAAATACTTAAAAAAAAAAATAAAAAAATCTGACCTCTTTTGCCTACCTTAATGGGAGCTAATGCTAATGCTCCTTAGCTTGTTATTGCAGTTAATGATTCCAGCTTGTTCCCTTGCATCTCCCAGGGCATCTACTTTTTGTCCTTTACTTTGTAAACACCTTGGGGCAGATGCCACTTTTTGGTACGTGTATAATGCAATCCTTACAGCATCAGCATCTCATGACCGATTGATTGCAAGGTGAAGGTTTGAGTGAAAGTTTCTATTTCCAAAAATCCTCACTCATTTGAGCACTAAAAGAACAAATGAAAGAGTCTATAAGTTTGTGGGAAAGCTCTGACTTGCTTTCTTTTTCCAGTTAGAGAGAAAAGTGCCTTTCAAGGGAGGTTAAATTAAAGTTTCTTATCTGTAAGAATGAATCACTGCTAAGTCTGGCTTAGGCAAAAATATGTTGTTATGGCGTTTAACATAAGGCAGCGCAAATACAATGGGAGGTATGCTACAAGTAAACATGCAAAGGCAATGATATTTCACCATTACTCTTCGGTAGAGGCTGAAATCACAGACGTGTCAGTGTGAATCACAACTGCAGTATCACCACCGCTATTAGCAGATGCAATAGAGAAACCTGAAAATAGCATGAATATTCTTTGGATGCATGCCAGGGTTGGTTTTCACCTTATATACAGATAGTTGGTTGGCTTCTCTTCCACTTTTAAGAATCTAGAACAGCAAGTTTGGAAATCCTTGACTCGCGTTAACTCCCATCTCTCTTCCTGAGGAACACTGAAGGAGTGTTTAACATGGTTGTTGCTCAAAAGCTACGACTCAAGACCAGGTCTTGTGTGCTTAGTATGCCACAGGATCATGGCTCAAGCAAGTTTGAAAAATGCATATAGTTCTTCCACCAGTGGAGGTACTGCTCTGGAAGAGAGTGCTTGAGGAGTTTGGAAGAGATGTAATATGGTGTTACTGATCTCTTGAAACATTTACCCAGGAAGAGTGAAGGAGCAATCCAACTGCTGTGCTAGGATTACAGCAGTAATGGCTATGCAGACACTGGTGGTTTTAGGTAAGTTGGTACCAGTGAGAGCACTCAGACAGGCTCAGCTGTTTTGTTTTTTGTTTTACCTGGGGCATCTAGTCCTGCTTAGAATAGGTGAGAGGGTAGGGTGGTAAAAAAAACCCAACAGCCCCAAGTGTAAGGTATAGTAGTACAAGACCCCAAAGTCTGTGAAACTAGAAGACAGTTTCTAAGGAGTAAAGTTATGTTTTCCATTTGTTGTTTTACACGGTTTTTCAGGTATTTGCTCAGTGGAAAGAGGTAGTGCCTTCTCCAGAATCACCAACAGTACTGAATTATAAGCATAACACTATCCCAGTCTCCAGTTGTTTATTCCCTAAAAGGCTCATTACTCAACAGCAAAAACATTTTTGTGCACATAACATATTATTCCATTTAAAACTAGGAAAACTAGCTTAATGTTTAAAATAAGCAGCTTCCCTTCACTGCTCCAACATGCCACATACCCATGCAAGAGTCAGAGCTATTTACTCATATTTGCATCATGGTTCAAAGATAAGGGACAGGACCCTACACTCCACAATTTCTAACCTCTCTAAAGTGCCAGGTCTACAGAAGTATGGGGGGGGGGGGGGGGGAGGACGACAACAAAACACACGAAAACAAACCAGCAAAAGAAACACACAACTCAGGCAACTCTGGTAGGGGAAGAATTTTGTTCCCTACCTATAGTTCTAATGTTGCTGTTCGGGGAGTCAGTGTATACATGGCTGAACAAGTTTCAGCAGACATTTGCTACATTTCTTCTTGGTTTCCTGCATAATTGAGTCACCAAGCCCTCCGACATCTGACACTGAATACCAGAGACCATGAACTGTCTATCCTACTCCATCTTCACACCTTTTGCAATAAAATTCCCCATGGAGAACACGTAGACACTCTCTCTACAGGTTCAGGTATGGGAACCAGGAATTGGACAATGTACCAATAGCAAGGGCAAAGGCAGGTATTATTTTCTTCTCTAGGGTCTTTTGCTTTGCAACAAGCGTACTTAGTTGGCCTCTATTAGTCCGACAGGCATCTGTTTCTAAAGCTTCCTAGCTTTGCTATGCTCCTATAAAGACTCAACCAGCTTTCACTAGAACCTTCTTCAATAAGAGGACACATTTTCAGGTATGATCTCTTCTCTACCAAAAGACTTCTTCGGCCACAGTGCACCCTTTTGTTGTCTTCAGCCTGCAGAACCACGTTCACCGCCAAACAGCTCTCTGCTCCCAGACCTACAGGCCTGCCCAGATGTTGGTAACCTGAAGTATTTTCAGATTTAACTCACCTAAAAAGGCAGACCTGGCACACATGCAGATGTACCCTCAGTCTTCTTTTAAAGAGCCAGACTAGCAATTGCTTTTGATTTGTTTTTGCATGCTTCAGAATTTGGTAGAATAATTCTTTAAAAATTCAGTATTTTTATTAAACAAATGCCAAAACATTGTTACTTACACAGCTATCCTTAGGGGCCAGTTCTGTAAAACAAAACAAAATGAACCTGGTCAGTCAAAGCTTTTTGCTTTTCATTCAGAGCCTGATCGATCCTATGGTTTAACTCATGGGAATAATCTGCATTCTTCGGATTATCAGAGTTAATACAGTTCACTTCACATAAGGAATTTTCTTGCAATGAAGCTGCAGGATGGATCAGGTTTTCAAGGAAGTTAGAATAACTCTTTTTTTAAATTTGAACTCAGGCTTTCTTTGCCAATACATAAGGTACTGAAAATAGAGCACACATTAAAGTATTATGTGAGCATAGGGAGGAACTACTTTATTTCAGTTCATTATTCTCTGGGTCCATTCTGGACAGATATTACCAGTTGGGCCAAGTTGTAAAGAAAAAAATTATGCTGAGGCCATCCTATCAAAAGGATGGAGTGGTTAGTCCTCCCCCTGCAATCACTCGATTGCTGCTTCTGCCTAGTCTGGCATCTCTTGTTTTACAGTGCATTCACAAAACAAATAAGTGTTGCAAATTTTAAGTATGTGGGAAAAGTGTAGGCACAAAGGGAAGTCTCTGCAGGCATTAGAAATAAAATATGAACATTACTCATACAAGAGAAAAAAAAAATCTCACCACACCACAGGTGTTTTTTCACTATGCACTGCTATTGCTTTGCAGTCTTCTGCATTCCTACAGAGGTAAGGAGAAGACTGATACAACAGACTGAACACAGTAAACCACTCTCCTGCTGTCCTATCCACCAACTTCTCTTTGGCTCTTTTATTTCTTTCACCTTTCCAGTGGGTCACAGCTGAAAAAAATAATTGAAGTTCATGCCATGCAATTAGGACATAAACAGCTGGAGCATGTGGTTTTCATTTTCATCTCTTGGGTTGACACTGTACATTGTAATTTCCAAGAGTTTAATAGTCTGGAGGGATGATGGACTGACATTATTACCAAGGTGCTAGAGGACAGATATATATGTTGGCAATAAAAAGAAATTAAAAATAAATACTTATGTCAAAATCTAGGATATATGGAGCAGCTCTCTGGGGTATTAAGTGAAGTAGATAATGGAACTGGAAAATTAGTTTGAAAGCAAAACACCTGTTACCCAGGTTAAGAAATGACCCGAGAAGACCACTCAGCCATAGGTGTAACTTTAAATGTGCTAAAGACTGCACAGCCAACTAGAAAATACGCTGTTTGTTTGTTTGCTAAAAATAAAAGAGAAGCCCTAAATATCAAAAATAGTGAAAGAAATATAGGCTGCTAATTAAGAATATGATTAATACTTTAAAATTTGACATAGCTTTGGAAAAACAATGCTAAGTGCTTTGATTATGATTCTGTTGTTAACTACTGTTTTACTGAGCTGGCTTTTGTATTACTTTGTCTCAAGCTGCTTCTTGCAGCTTCAATTTGTATTCTTCTGACATATCTCAACCTTATTTGTAAAGGAATCAGGTGTCATTTTAATGCATTTCACTATGTCTCAGGATCCTATGACCTCACTATCTCTTCAAGACTATGTATGATGTGGGAGCTGCTAGCTTGCATATCTCAGCAGTATTACATTTTTCACATGAATACCTTTGCACTTTTTTGTACTCATAGATCCTCAGAGCTTGATGGACCAAATCTTTGCTCATTTTCATCCCAGTCCTTTATCAGGCTACCTCCCAAGTTTGGGATGGGATTTAGGGGGATAAAGTGATATGTTTCTACCACTTGTCAGTAATTAAACATTCCAAAGACACTGCACTTACCATCATTTGTATTATAGGAGCAATTACATGCCCCAGTTGAGGTCAGGGTCCAGTGAGCCCGGCTTTGTCTAAATGTGAATCAGGAGACAATCTGTGCTACGAATAGTTTAAATCTTACCGTATGTATATGAAGTTATTCATGATCATCCAGGAAATGTAGGGTACAGGTTATCTTTCGTCCAACCCCTGGGCCAAATTGGGGACTATTAGTATGAAAATCCATCAATCCAATCAAATGTGAATTATTAGACTGCCAGGTCCATGAGGTCTTTAAGTTACCTTCCCTCTACTACCTCCTGCCAGCCATCAGCATAGCTAACTGGAATCCAAACCTTTGCAGTTCACACTTCCCTGTGACCCTGGATCTTTTTCACTAATCTTACCATTTTGCCATTTATCTTAAATCTAACTATTTTGCCTGACTTGTTCATAGTCACACGGATGGCTTTTAGGATTATCCTGTGACTTTTTTCTGTGGAGGTTCCAAAAAAACAGGAGTATAGCCAACTCACAAATTGTGATAAACTTGTTATCATTGGTTAAGCCATTTGCAACCTGTCCTTTTTTTAGGTTTAGTTTAACTATACTAATTATCTAAAGCAATATCCACTTTAAGCCCTGGAAAGCATCCTTCTTGCAATACCTTTGGAATTATTAAATTGACATTATCTATGTTAGATATCATTTGAGATTACCAGCCTCTCCAATTCACATTTAGCCCCATTCATAGAATCATAGAAAGTTAGGGTTGGAAGGGACCTCAGGAGGTCATCTAGCCCAACCCTTTCTCAAAGCAGGACCATCTCCAACTAGGTCCCCCCAGCCAAAGCTTTGTCTAGCCAGGTTTTGAAAACCTCCAAGGATGGAGCTTCCACCACCTCTCTGGATAACCTGTTCCAATGTTTTACTATCCTCCTAGTGATAAAAATTATTTCTAATATCTAACCTAAACCTCCCTTGCTGCAACTTGAGACCATTGCTCCTTGTTCTGTCATCTGCCTTTTCCATTCTGTACCTTTTCATCATTCTTTAAAACCTTTGCTCCTTCATCTCCAAAATGCCTTCAGAAACAGTGGTTTTGAACTGCTGATACTAGTATAGGATTTTTGCAGGTCTGGTTGCTTGATTGATGCCTATGTTGGACTCTGTTTCTGGAAATCCTATGGCAGAAATGAAATATACGTTACAAGGAGATGGCTAATGATGGTTACTAATGAGGTCAGTCAAGGTTCTGTCATTTTTTTTTAGCCAAAATCTTTTGCTGATGCTAGAAATATTGGGAGGTTCAACCATAGATCTGCACTAGATCTATGTTCTCCACTATCATCTGTTCACGTCCTTGGACTTCACTTAACACTGTTGCCACGCATCCCATCCAGAAATTAGAAGGGGTTTGAATAGGCAGCCACACAATTCTTAGGTGTTATGCTTCCCACCTTTACACAGTCTCACTGGGAATATTCCCTGCTGGACCCAGGACCTTTTTTTTGACACCGGTGAGCTCTGGGGCATACTACAGTAGGATGGCATCTGTGGCTTCAGCGCCTGTTTTTCCTTATGGACCCTTTAGTAGTTCCAAAAGAGCTTAAGCACCCATGGGACATGTATCCCTCTTGGGAGCTGTACAACTAGATGTTTGCTATACAACACCGGACAGCTTTCTCAGAATAAGAGAGGATATAGTAGTCAATTGTAAGGCTCATAGATTATGAGGAAAAAGCAAAACTGACAAGCTTTTCTGATCCAAATGTCCAAAACTAAACCATTTTACCACAAGCTGCAAACACCTCTGCTTTTTGTTTCAAGTTCCTCTGATTCTGTTTTCACCTGTTCTGCCTTGCTTGTCTGAAAGTTGTTAAAAGCTATTGTATCTCCAAAGTACCTCCGTTTATATGTTGACAGCTTATGATAGGCAAGTCAGAGTGAGAATAAATTATCTGTGTCAGTCCCACCCACATTGCTAACCTCCTCTGTTCCAAGAGAAAAATTAAAATCATTCATACACACAGGGCACTATCAAAGTTAGTTGGGAAACTGAGACACATATACTTTTTATTTAAAAAAAGAATGCAGAAATTCCCCGCATTCTTCATGCTAATCTACAGAGAAACTTTGGTTGGAGCGATGTTGGGAACAGTTACATTACCACAAAAGCTACTTAGGTGAGTGGTATGGCAACAGACAGTTAAGTCTATTGGCTTGCTCTCTGCACTACACACCTGCATCTTATTTAAGCAGCCTTCATAATAAAAAACAGAGAAGGGGATTTGGGAATAAAAGGAGGGGAAAAAAATATATGCATGATAAAACAACAAGTGCCCTCAGATCCTATACGTTTTTACAAAGCTCCAGTTTGAAAGACTATATCAGTTTTTCAGAGGAAAAAAAAGTCCGATTAGAAATATTTGGTTTGATTTAAAAAAAAAAATATTCAGAAAAAGGAAAGATATTTCATAGGAAAAAAATAGAATAATGAACCACAAAAGTAAGGATGGAGAAACCCTTTCCATTGGCTTGAGCGAATGTATGGTATGAATCAGGATTGGGACATTTTAACAGTCAAGTAAAACAAGGCACAATTAGGAATAATTTCCCCCCGGCTTCTGTGTGTGACTTTATAGTGTTTAAATAGCCTTAATCAAGTCCACTGTAGCTTGGTGAATAGAAAGGCTTACCTTTATTGCCTTGTGGCTTTTTATATAGATGGCATTTTTTCTTTGTATGGCTGACCTTTAATTTTATTAACAGTTAAATGTTTCCAATCAGATATCACTGCTTTGATTTTAGAAAAAATATTTATGAGACTAAAGCATAATTTATCCATGCTACACAAGGAGCAGAGCAGATGTTCATGAGAGAATTTGTTATGGAAAGTCAATCCCTGTGGAATTTGCACATAAAGCAATCTCATACACCAATCGACAGACTAGTCTGAGAGAAGAAAAAAAGAAAAGCCAAAAAATAGGGATTCTCATATTGAAATCAAGAAAGGAACACATTAATTAACATTTTTGTAAAAGACGGGGGTGCATGCATTCTCCGGTCAAGAGAATCTCAGCTTCAGCACATGGAAAATGTCATGAAAACCTTTACTTATGTTTTAACAAGAGTAGGAGACAGAAGAGGCAGAGGTGAATTTTTTCCTTTGATTTTATGAACATGAGTCAGAAGGCTTCTTATTTCTTTAGCATAATTTGTGAGCAGATGTGAATGTCTGAAAAATTCCATATTTCTTTGCACAAATGTATAATAAATATGTAAATATTCCATCCTCAATTTCAATGGACGCAGTGGTGGAGGACTTCATAGATCTGATTGTATTCCTCCATAACAGGTAAACCACAAAGTGTTATTTTTGAATGGGATTAATGAATGAAAGTATCCCTGCATGCAAGAACATAAAAAAGGAACAGATCCAACATGCCCAATTGTTAAAGAAAAGTCTTACTATGACATATTGTGCTGTCATCAGCTTTCAGAAGCTCAGCAGTCAGGTGAGGTTAATACTTTAATGGAAGACATTTGAAGAGGAACCAACATGCTTCAGCTCTAATGAATCTGTAGGCAGTTTATTTTCCTCTTAACCAGTGCCTCAACATACTGCCAAAGATGATGATTTAACAGATTAAATGCAAGCAGAATTGGACGGGAAATGGTTTTGCTATCCCCCAGGACTGCAATTTTTAAACCATTTTTCCCCTCTTGAATTGCAAAGAAATAGACAAATGCCCTGTGATTCTGTAATTCAAAAAACAAAAAAGATCTGCTCAATTAAAAATGTTTCAAAACATTGCTTCAATATCATTTTTGTTTATAACCATGTTTAATAAAGTTAATTTGAAAAGCAGATGTTGTTTCAAATTAAAAAAAAGAAACTTTTATTGGAAGAATGTCACTATCGATTATTTTGACAATTTCAAAACTTTTTTTTTCCTGAAAATGTTTAAAGCAAGCAGTTTTGGT